TCACACAGTCAGCATGTGAGTTACAAATTACCTTTTGCCTTAGTGAGCTAATGAAGACTGAAAACATTGGTTAAGTTTTTAAATCTGTTTAGGCTTAAGTTGTTTAAAAGAAGATGGCAGACTTTAGCTATCAAGTCCTCAAAAACATACTTTCTGCTCCTATCGTCAGATAGATGTTTGGTTTGGATGAAGGACATGGAAAGAAACAAAGTACGGCGATTAGTAACAGATGTCTCTGGGTGTGACACTGAACTTTGATCCACTCTGCATGCGTCTCTTTTTTCTATATATATATATCTCCATTTGTCCTGGTGATTTTTATATCTCACCCACCCATAACACGTCACGTCCTCCAACCTCCATTAGCTGATCTTTTGCCCCTCTTCCTCACTTTTCTTCTTTTACGCTCTGTTTCATTCCCCTCTGCTGTGTGTCTCCTGAGCTGGACGTATTTCATCTTCTGCTGCCCATAAGCGGGTAGGTTTTACATCCCTGGTTTCTTGTCCTGTTTTTTGGGTAAAGCAAACATTAATTGACATTATTCCTCTTCTTGACTTGTGTGGGCGCGTGACTCTGTGTGGTCGGCCTGTTGATATTTAACGGCTTTTAACCACTTGAGTTTTGATTAAGGCTGCGTTACTGTGAAATAGTTAAGCACCTGATGTGTTTCAGAACAGAACATATGCTAACCTTTAAAAAGGGCTATCACGGTTGCTCACCAGCGAGCGGAGCTCAAAGGTGGAATGAGATAAGGACTTGATGCGGCGGTGTCAGGGTACAAAGGTTCGACGGCTTCGGAGAGACAGACGGCGCACATGTGCAGAGAAAACCGGCATAGAGGCAGTCTCTATGATTATTCATTATTGAGATGGCAGGAGAGCTGAATGAGTGGAGCCACTAATTTAACTGAGTCTGATGGACAGAATGCAATTACTCTGAGAGTAGAAGGTGGAAGAAAGGGGAGCAGCGTACAGAGCTGGTGCCCCCTTTCCTTTCTCTTCTATCTTTCCTTTTTCTCTTGACTTGGCTGAGAAAGTCAGGCTTTCCCTATAGCTACAGATGATTTCTGGGCTCTGAGCTCCTGTTGGCAGCATTTAGTTTGTGGAGTCGCACACACACATACAGTAGCGCACAAGGGAGGGAGGAAGAGAGGGATGTTCACACGCGCATATGCAGATCTTCACATCGCCCTCCCGCCCGCCGCCTGCTGGCAGCTCACCAGTTACGGCCGTCCAATTTAGCGCTCACTCCTCCTCTCCTCCCCTCTGCGCCTCCGCTGGTTCGGCTTCAGATTGCCGTCTAAATCCAGACCCGCTAAGCCGTGTTCACTTCCTGCTCCGCTGCCACATTTAGCTCATGAGCTGATTCCAGGTCAAACCACCACCACCACCACGCTGTTCATAGTAACTTTGATAAGATCCTTAACGTGTGTTTTGGCACGAACTTGCAGAGGTCTTCCACTCTTCTTCCCCCTCAGTTTTAGTCTCACGTTTCAGCCTTAAATTGAAGTCAGGTCTGGAGTCTGTGACGACTGGGCCGTTTTTATCATATTGATGCCATCTGGCCTTTAGGTAAGACTGTTCAGCTTTAGGTTAGGAATTCAAACCTGTGATCTTTAGCATCACTCTAAAATTATGGATCATGTTTAGGCATTAAGGTTAGTTAAAAGTCTGTCCGACTCCGACTGGACTGATAAATCATAAATATATGTTAGAAAACAATGTCTGACACTAAAACTATTAGTAAGAGACAATGTTCTATTGTGTCCAACTAGTCCTTTGGGATTCCTATGTTTTATCACACAAATATGACCAGGATTTATTTTGCAACCTTAATATGCTTTTGTGTTCACGGAAAAATAATAAAAAAAACGATAAATTCCTGTCAAATTTTGAATTTCTGATTGAATTAAAAGAGCTTTTTATTTTATTTTCAATATCAGTTGGATCCGATTTGTCAAAATTGTTTAATTTGAAGAATTTATAATGCATAAATGTCATATTCTAAATGTTCAGCACCTGAAACGCATCCAAAAACCTGGTAAACTTTGCTTTAGTTTGACGATAAAATGTTGCAAACATTTGACTGTAAAAGAAAACATTTGCTCCAGTCTGTTTCCTAGATGATCATTTCTCAAATTAACGGATTACAAAATATTTCATTTTATGCATCAAAACATCTGCTTCTGATCTTTCATTTTTACAACATTTGAAACAATGCGCTTAAGGCAGCTTCCAGGGGAGTTTGCATTTTATGTTAGGAAGAATTTATAAAATGTATCAAATTCAGCTTGTTCAATATTTCATCAACTTTTCCCAGGTCAAAACCAATCTAGTGAATTAACAACAGAGGTAAACAGCAAAGCCAGTCGATTGGTTAATTACTCCGGTGCTTTTTTAATTCTAATAAATTCCTTAGTTTTTTTCTCTTCCGGTTAGATTTAGATGTCTGGATTTTGGACTAACGAGCTGCTTTTCTTTAACTCCACATGGTGTCTTAAAGACTTAACACCTAGAAGATAAAAAAAAAATAAAAAATGGTAAGGCAGAGCCTGGAAAGGCAGGAACAGATGGGGACTTGCTCAGGGGTGAAAGCTGAGGCTCCTCAAACTCCATCCTTTCTATTCTGAATTTACTTCTTCTTGCTTTTTTTCTTCTCTCTCTCCCCTTTTGCCCCTTTGCTCATTATCTTACTCACCCACTCTATGTTCCCTCACTCCTCATTTTCTTTCCACTCTGTTCATTTCTCTTCCCACTAACCCCTCTCTCTTCATACTCGCTCTCTCGCCATCCATTTGGTGGAACAGTGCTGCTGATAATGCCTGTAATTGGAGTGACTCACACTTTTCCAGTGTGTTTGGACCAGATAAAGAATATTGTCAGCATTTTGCCGACATGGCCTCTGCTGGCAGAATTAAATGGACTCTGTTCTGTTCTGTCTGCAGCAAATTAAAAGCCTCTCAATTCATCTGTTCTCGCCCGAGGCTTACAGGGGCCTCCTATTCACGCTGAAACGCCGTGGAGAGGGGGCGGCACAGAATGAGAGAGATTTCCTTCTTCCCCAAGAAACACCAGCCGTTTGGTTTTGTTCTACCCTGCACCCGGTCTCCGTTTGCCGGAGAACGAGAGAGGAGGAGAGAGAGAGAGGGGTCAAGACCGGTAGTCTTAAGAAGTGGGGACGAACATCTCAGAGTGTAGTCAACTTCATTATGTGGCTTGTCACCTTGCAGCTGTCCCTCGCCGTTTTTGTTCCTCGGTATCTCTCGCCAAAGAAAGGAGCTTTTCTTCGAGTGTGCGTGCTCGTAAATGCGCATGTTTGTGAAAAGGAGAACAAACTGTGAGTTTGAGTGCCTTTGGCTGCCGGGTTGTGCAGTCACTGCCAGTCAACACTTCAGATTAGAGTAGAGGCAGATGGGCTCCCAAAGGGGCCGAGGGACGGGGCTTCAGGGCTCACCAGGCTCAGAAAGTTCAACCGGTGTCGGTGTTGAAGAAATAGGCATCTAATTTTGCCTTCTGGCATTTCTGGTTTCTGCTCAGGGTCTTTAGCAAAGATTATACGGGAAATTACAACGTGCAGCCAGAGTTTTGAGAAATGAGAAAGGTAAAAATGAATATTTTTGTAATCTTCCTTCACCATTAAATATTTCTATTTTCATCCTTAATATACTGCATTTATTGAGATTAGAACTTGTGGATTTTTTATTTTTTTTATAAATGGTGATATTTGATTGACTTCAGAGTTTTGGTCATATTTTGCTGTCATCCTGGTGTGTAAACAAACATAATCCTTGACAAATATATGTTACCACCATGCCAACCTGTCAAAACCTACAAAGAAAAAAGTTAATTTATGAAGAAAACAGGAAACAAACTGATGTGTGTGTGAGCAGAAGCAAAGAGCTGAAGTTTGCCACCGTGACCATCACTGCTTTGGCAGGGACTAACCCACCCCAATATTACTCACCCCTACTCACAATTTACCCCTGACAGCAGCATATTTTTTACCCCAAACAAAGTTTCTACAGATTGACCTTGCTGTGATGTTCCAACATAAGATTAACTATTTTAAAAAAAAAAGCTAAAATGTGCAAAACAGGCACAGTTTGATATTTTTTTCAAACATTTTGTTCAGCCGGACACATACAGATTGTCTCTGAGTCGCGTCTTACTCCTGCTAACAATGTTTTCATCTGAATCGTTTTGCTGAAGCGCTAGGCTGACATTAGCACGCTTACTCTCTTTTTTTTTCTTCTTCTTCTTAGAACTCATTGCTGGAGCTATTTCAATGTGATTCAAAGTAATTGTGGGAACAAACTTAACAGAAAAAGCTGTTTGATAAGAAATTTAATGAAGAGTGTTTCAGCTGAGCAAGAAGACATGCAGGCGGTCATAGCTGCAGCAGCTAACACGCCATCAACATTAGGGGCAGGGGGTTTTTAGCCAGATCCTGATTTTATTTTATTACGATGCTAAAGGCTGTAATGTCATTTTAAATCATTCTTTGCCCCACCCCTCTACCCAAAACACTGCTGGTGATTTGCCTGTTTTTGACTTTTTCCTGCTTCAGCCAACGTAACAAGTCATCAGCGGCGCCCTGCAGAACATGGTGCGCTGTGGAGGGACTGAGCAGACTAATTGATTTAGAGGTGTTGGTTAATAAAATCTCACTTGGCACCAGGCATAAAACTTCTGTCTAAATGTTAATTAGTCACACTTCTAAACTCTTAAAAATTAGCTTTGTAATTAAAGAATGAAGTGCGCGCTGGAGAGGTGGGCTGTTCTTCAGTAAATGTCCTTGCTGAGCCGCGTTATTGACAGAAAGCACAAAGTGGAGAGCAGGTCTCTCTACTCCGTTACCATGGGCAACGTCTACTCAGGGCAGATCAGAAACGAGCTCATTCTCATGCCTGCTGATAACCCTTGCTTGGTTTCGCCCGCTCTGGGTAAGCACGACCTAACAAAAGCAAACCTGTTTGTTCCTGTCTGTCTCTCTCGCTCCAGATCTCCATGGGTGTGTGTGGGATGTTGTGTCAGGGCTGAAACCCATCCCTCTCCCATGAGCCTGTGTACCCACACGCACACACACGGCGCCTCGACGCACGCACTCGGCGCCCACGCACCCACAGCCGGCACCGACGCTGTGAACTGGACCCTCGGAGCCCGGCGGAGCCCAGCCGAGCCAAGCGGAGCCGAGTCTAGCCCACTTGGAGCCTGAGGATGTCAACAGAGACGGAGCTCCAGCCAGCGGTCAGGCCCAGCAGCGTCAGACGGGACTCCAGGAGGAAAGGTAAGCAGAGGGCCAACGTTTGCTCAAGATACGAGTTATTACAGAGTGATCTATATTGTTTGTTAGGATCTCGATTGGAATAAATTCTGATTTTATTTTTTACTTGTTTTTAGTAACCTACCAGAATTCAGTGTTTTATCACATTTTGCTGTTCTTAGATTGCAGAATAATTCATACCCCTAATGCTTTTTTTTAATTTGTTTATTTTTTATTATTATTTTTATTTTATTTTTACATTTGATTAAATTAAAATCATAAACTTTGTTGTGATTATATTTGATAGGTCAACAAAACAAATTGCATTATTATAATGTGGACACATTTTTAAAAAAGTTTTTAAAAGTTATTCAAAGTAAAATGTAGCAATCCCCTTTACTCTGATACACCTAAATAAAAATCTGTGCAACCAGTTGGTTCCAGATGTGACCTTCGCAGTAAAGTCACGTCTGAGGCCTTGTGCTCTGTGAAGGCCTCAGATATTTGTTGGAGAACATTTGTGAAAAAAATAATAGGTCAGGGATAAAGTAGATAAGCTTAAAGTAGCATTTTCAAAAATGATTGTTGAAAGAAAGCCACATTTAAATTTTGTAACAAGTCATTTAAAAGACAAAATATATCAGAGAAGTTGCTCTGGTCGGATCAAACCGAAACAGAACATGTTAGCGCTGAGTGGTTGAAAGCTAACATTACTATGAGAACACCTCATCTTCCCCAGAGTAGAGCACGGTGGCAGCATTATGCTATGGGAATGCTTGTTCAGCAGGAACAGCTGGTCAGGATTTTAAAAACAAGATGGACGTTTTAGGATAACAGAGCACTTCTGAAGGAAACTTAGAGGCTCAAAAAGACTTGAGACTGAAAGTCGTTGACCCTAAACATTACCCCGTGGGCTATGCTAGAATAGTTTAGATCAAAGTTTTTATGGCCCAGTCAAAGTCCAGACCCAAGTCTAACTAAGATTAAGTGGCAGGACTTGAAAACTGATCTTCGTAGATGTTCTTTGCTCAGTTTGTCTGAGTTTAAAGTGTTGACTCAGCAGGACTTTATATTCCTCTGTAACACTCAGGAATGCTGTTCTGCCGGTTGGCTAATAAAAAATAAATAAATAAATAAATCAAAAACGGTATGCAGAAATTTTTAGATATTATGTGACAAATCTGAAAAGTTCAAGGGTTGTAAATATCCTCCGCAATAAGCCACCATGCACTTTCTTTAGCTCCATTTGTTCTGTTAGCTTCTGTCTTACTGGCTGGTGAAATGATGAGAGGCCGACACCGACGGTAGAACAGCCAGCTGTGGGGATGCTGCGTGCAGTGAGGAGTCCAGATGTGAAAACCTCCAGAGGCGAGCAGCCAGCAGGTGTAAAGCAGCGGGCCTGGCCGGCCTCAGGGCAGAGGTGACGGCGCCTTGCCGCACGGCGCCACCTGCCCGTCTGCTAGAGCGACGCCCGGGCGCCTCCTCCAAATAAGCATCTGATTGATGTTGCAAAAACTCCGGACGCTGTCGGGGATGACACTTAATGGATGTGCACGAGCGCGCGGGATCCCACACACTCGCTATCACCTGGAGCAGACGCCTCATTGAGCCCGGCGAGCTTCAGCTCCCGCAGACGAGCGCCGGTCGTCCCAAACACAGAGAGTGAGGGAAGGCTGAATGCCTCTCAAGTCCTATTTAGAACAAGCATTGTTCTACTGCAATGGAGATCATGTTCATCATTCAGACTGCTCTCTGTATTTGGAAGACACATACACACACACACACACGCATACACACACACACAACGGTGCTGGGATAGAAGCCCAGAAGAGCATATGAGAGGGAAGATGAATGGTTTGCTTTCCGCTTTGAGACTTGAGGGTTTGTTCTCGCTGTCTTTCTCTTTTCATCTGCACACGCACACACACACACACACACACACACACACACGCACACATATTTTCACACACAAATCACCTTATAACTTGTCTTTATTTGTATCTCTTTTTTGTACAAGTGGAACGAAGGATTTGCTCAGCTACAAAGCTTTGCTCACACAGGATGTATTCATCTTTCCTCTGATCTGGGTCAGTCTTCCCAGAAGACGCACTCGCGTACACGCAATCACTTGGAGATGGGTGATGAAAGCCAAACGCAATCACGTACCACACACGCGCTTCGAACGTGCTTGTCTGTGGGAATGAGGAACTTTGTTGGCGTGCGTTGCGTGTGGGACCTGTAGCCTATTTTTTTTCTTTCTTCCTTTCTTCTTCTTCTTCTTGCATCGCTCATGCTCGTTCCTAGCCAGCTGTCTAGTTTCTGTCTCGCCGGAGAAGCTGAGTTTAAATGAAAATAACCCTGCTGAATCGCTGATCTTCATTAGGATATAAACACTTGTTTTACTGATGTGAAAATCCCTGCAGGATGCCCCTCTCATCCCCCCCCGCCCGTCGGTCTTCAAACACCCTTCCTCTCTCCTCCCACTCCTTAGACTCCGACATGACCTTGTCCTGGATGTGTGAAACTCGGAGCAGAGAAGGATCATGAAGAAAGGGAGAGAGTGAGAAAAGACTAATGAGTCGGTCTGAATGAGAGCTTTTTAATCTCAGCCCTTTGTTTCACAGCCCTGCAGAGACGAATGTGATGGAAGAAAACTATCGGACTGCTACGTGTCACACATTAATCACAGCGGCACCGTGCGCTTGGCCGATGCATCGCTCTTCTTGCGCGCCTGTGTGTTGATTTTACATGTAATTATGACTCAACTGAGGGCAAACGTATGGGTTCCAGAACGTTGCAATCTTTGAACTCTGCCATTTACGCAACCTGACCTGAAGAACCTCAGCTTCAGCTGCAACGAAACCAGTCCGCCACGCTGGTCAGATTTTAATATTTAACCCTCATGTTCATAATTAATCCATACACAAAACCTACTTTGGTCTGGTTTCTAGTGTGAATATCTTGGTAGGCTTAAAATAAGATAAAGCTAACTTATAATTAACTTTTCAGCAAGATATAGAAGAAGCTTGTTTTAAGTCAGTTTCTTAGTACTGATGAAATATTTCTAGTTCCATTTCTAGTTCAGAATATTTCACTTGTAATATGGGAAAAATGTTTTGCAAAAAGTGAAATAATCTACCAATGGAACAAGTACCTTTTTTATCAATATTGAGAAATTATCGACTTAGCTCCTATATCTTACTGAAAAGTTACTTGTAACGTAGTTTTATCTTATTTCAAGTGTACTAAGATATCTGCACTAGAAACTAGACCAAAATGACTTGGTAATACTTTGTGTTTTCACAGCCAACTACGCATATGTCACTTGAACTTTAAAAGAAAATCACATTACAACCACAAACTTTTTTTTTTTTTTTTTTTCAAAATGTGATAAAGAAAGTGAAGGAGGATAGAAAATTATCTTTGGTTTTCATATTCAAATTACAAATGAGTCACAACAGAGTCAATGTTATCTCAGTATAAACCCAGTTGTTCTCTGAAGGCCTCAGAGGTTTTTGAGAGAACCGTAGTAAACAAAGAGCATCACAAAGAGCAAGGAACACACCGGACATATCGGGGAGAGAGTTGGTGATGTTTAAAGCAGGCTGAGGTGATAAAACAAACTCACAAGGTCTGAATATCTCTCAGAGCTCTGTCCATTCATAATCTGAAAGTGGAACATACATGGTGCTACTCTAATCCTACCTAGATGTGACCCGTTGACCTAAACTGACAAGCTGGAAAAAGAGGGAACTAATCATAGAAGAAAAACTAGCTGAAAAACTAGGTGCGAGAAAACATTAACAATCTATAAATCTGGAAGAGTAGCATGATGGAGGTAATCAGACTAAAAAAATGTCAAGATTCCAAAAAATATGTGTATTTACTAGGTGCCAGAATAGTAAGAGAGAGTTTTGGAAGTTTATGAATGTTTCTTTGTCAGAGAATGAGGAAAAGGTTTTGTGTTTTCACGCAGCCTAAGTAAATATCTGCTATTATGTTTTTGTCTGCTATATAAAATCCTGACAAATACTTCTGCGAGGCGCTGCTCCTCTCTCCGCCTCCTCATCCCCCTGGACCTTCTCCGTTTCCTTCCCTCTCTTGCGATGCGACCTAAAAGTTAAAGGATGACGCGGCTTCAGCGAGACGATGCTTCTTAATGAATGCAGCTGTTAGTTTCTTAAAAAGCAGCACATTTTAGGCTGCTTATTATTAATAAAACAACAAGGAGCTGATAGACTGCCAAGTGGAGACACTTTTATGCGAATGTCAAACTGGAACAAGAAACAAGTCTGACATTTATGAAGAGCCCAGCAGCTGCAGGCTGCACAGCTTTTTTCCTCCCCGTGCTTAGAACCTTTAGATCGCCGCGCCCACCTTGTTGATGAGCTATGATGAACCGTAGAGGCTCCTTTCAGTCATATATCCCCTTTTCACCATGCGCGGAAATTGTCCTGACATGACAGTGCAGTATTTCAGCAATGCTGCACTTCTGTCAAATACGGTTTAATTAGTGGAGTTGCATAATTCACATAAACCGTTACCAGACGGTCGATGAACTTACTCCTTCTCCTCTTCTCCCTCCAGAGGAGCTGAAGTTGACTGTCAAAACAGGGCGGTGAGATTGGTTTGCTAACAAGCTGGCAGGGAGTCAGCAGCGTTTATTCACACTCTTCTAATTCAGTGCCGTTCTGTAACAGCTGAAGAATAAATGTCAACACTGTTTATTTAGAGTTGATGCAGGTTAGAGCTCCCGACAGCCACTGAAAATTGTTGATTTTTCCTTTGGCAATAGACTCTTATTAATGTGGAGACATTGCAAGGCTTTGAAACTAATTTTTTTTTTCATATTCATAAGTCTCAATTTAAGTTTCAAATGTTACAGCTGTTTTAAAGGTCTGCAAAAAGTAGCTGATGCGTATTTTAGCCCTCACAACATCCGGTCAGCTCTGTTTCTGCTTGTTTTTCCTTCACTGTACCAGCTTATTTCAGGTTTCTATTTTGCTTTGTTCTCGTCACTCTGG